AGTGAGGAAATTTGAGTAGTTTTGACACAGAAAGCAAAATGTGAATATCAGACACTTAGGTGCAAGATTATGCCAAAATTTCATGTTTTCTGTCCCGTTTTTGCTTATTTCTCGGAGGAAAAATGAGCAACTAGCTGCTTCAACATGCATTTCAGCTTGTGTGACAAAAATATTCAATACATTAGTCGATTAAGTAGGTGCTCTGGCAGATTATTCGGTAATTAAAATCGCATTTACAAAAAGAAACTAGACAGTCAACTGAAGGTGGTATTAGCATAATTGATATATTAATGTTTATAAAAACATGATTATTCCTCATTAAAACTGTATTAACTTAACTGCGTCCTAAGTGAACCTCAGACCCAACTAATCACATTCAGGGCTGCATAAAAACTTTCCAGCGAATAATAAATTTGGACAGCAAGCAGTCGATTTGCAATATTTCAGTGAATTTTCCAGTTGCACGCATTAATCGATCGAAATGTGGATTGTTCTACTGTTACCGATCGTCGCCTACATTTTCATTCAAATCGCTTTTTGCCGAGTAAAAAGCCAATCAAAATACTTGCGAAATGTGCCGGGAAAAAGACCGTTTTTGATTTTTGGTAATTTGCTGGATTTCCTGCCAGGATCCATTGGTAAGGCCAATGATTCACTAGTAAGGCGAACGCCTGAAATTTCTATTGCAGTTTTCCTCGATAATCTAATGGGGTATTTGAAAACCTATGGGGACACCATTCTTTTTCATGATGGATCGTTCAGCTGGATTTTGCTGTCTATTGATTATGAATTTAATGAGTTTTTGTACTCATCATCAGTTCACATCGAAAAATCCGACCAGTATCAATTTTTCCATGGATGGTTTGGACAGGGTCTTCTCACAAGCTCTGGTAAGTCTGCTTTAGGGCCGGACTAAAACATGCAAATTTTGCTTTGCGCATCAAAAGTTCAACGTTTTGTGTTTATGTGCAGGTTCCACATGGAGAAATCACCGAAAAGTGATAACGCACTCCTTCCATTTCTCCATTCTGCTACAATTTATCGACGTTTTCGACAGCGTGGGCGACAATTTAGTGAAAAAGCTGGAATCTGAAGCTGGAAAAGACAGTGTTGAAATATCCCAATTGATCTCTTTATACGCCCTGGATGTAATTTGTGGTCAGTCCACTCCAACACGCGTAAATCATGACGAGATCTCACGACTTTTAGGTTCCAGAGGCTGCAATGGGGGTGAAGATTCAAGCGCTTGAAGCGGGCAATTCGGAATACGTGAAGAGCATCAAGGAAATGTGCAATATTGTGGTTGATCGCGTTTTTTCGTTTATCAGTCCGCGCCTCTACAAGCTAACTTGGACTTACTATAGGGAGAAAACGGCTCTTAAGGTGCGTGGATTTGTCTTGGCGTGAAGCCTTGATTCCCACTAATTGCATTGTTGTATCAAAAGAGCATCCATAAGCACGTGGAAGCAGTCATATCCAAGCGGATCGAAGAATATAGCCAGAAAGCCGAAAAAGGCTCCCAAGCTGATGAATTTGGTGCTAAAAACGCCTGGCTTTCCTGGATATGCTTCTGGAGGCCAGAATTGACGGAAAACCTTTCTCCAGGAAGGAGCTGAGGGACGAAGTGAACACTTTCATGTTCGAGGTAACTGAAGCCGATTAATCCTCTGCTTGTGTGCTGAGTAAGATTTTTTTCCCAGGGCCACGATACAACTTCTTCAGCACTCTGCTTCGCCCTATTTTTGATTGCCACTCACCCAGAAGTGCAGGTAAGTCGACCCTTTCATCCCCTTTATACAGGATGATTCAAAAGCACTGTGATAAACTCTGAGAGGCCGAAAAGAATGATGAGAAGTTCTAATAATTGAGGGTTTTTAAGTGCATAGTTTCTAAAATAGCGGGTGCTGAAATTTTATTAGAAAACCTAAAAAACCATGAATTTATCTGAAACTTCTTGGAATATTTTAGTGCAATTGTTTAGACAACGCCAGCTATTGAACAATAATGTTTCTATTGAATGAAACTTTTTTTCGGTCCCCTAGTGGCGCCTACCGACATTAGTGCAGACAAAACTAGTGCTCCACTGATTTGTCAAAATATTCGTTATTTTGTTGCATTGCTGGTTCAATTCCAAACCAAAAAACTCACTTGAGTTTTTTCGTAGAACGCATGATTTTCGAGTGAAAAAATAAAAATCGTATTAATGCACATCTTACATTACATACATACTAATACACTCTCTTACTCTAAAATGATGCGTAGTGCAATGAAAACTTAAGAGACCTGTTTCATTTGCAATTGAACAGACAATAAAACCAAATAAGTAGTTTTTTGAAAAATCAATCGGGTACAATTTTTATTCAAAAGTTTGGAAGAACATGTGAGTAAGCGCGCGCCGCTGGCGCACCGAAAAAATTTTTAATTTCAGTGGAAATTTGGCTCTAAATAGCTATTAACATCTGCAAATTATCATTAAAATCTCTCCACAGGTTGCGGATATATGTATAAATACATTTCTGGCTTTTTAAATGAAACCTTACCACCCAGTATTTTTGTCACAATGCCCTGAGAACCATTGATTTTTTAAATCTTCTGYTCTTAAAAGAATGCCAGCAACCACCTCCTGAACTCTCCAATCACCCTGTATACTAAAATCMAGACCAATTTAAGGACAAACTTTTCAAAGAGCAAACCAAAATTTTTCCTTCGGRCTGGAAAAATGTGCGACCCTCACACAAGCAACTGATGAAAATGAAGTATCTGGACCTGGTGATTAARGAAACCCTTCGCTTGTTTCCATCAGTGCCCTTTTATGGGAGGAAACTGGCACACGATGTAGAGTTTAGTAAGTGTACCCGATGCCCCACAAGCTAMGATTTTTAGCTTAATTTTTAGAAGGAATCCTCTACCCCAAGGGGCTGACAGTGGGGCTATTTCCGTATGGTTGCCATCGGAGCCCCAAATATTTTCCGGAGCCCGAGAAATTCATCCCCGAAAGGTTCGAAAACTGGAGTGGAAAACTGCCCTATGCCTACACACCGTTCAGTGCTGGCCCTAGAAACTGTATAGGCAAGTTCTTGTTATCTGCGGATATCTGGAAATTTTCTTGTTTTAAGCAAATTTCTATTAAGCTCTTGGTGTTTTAGGTCAAAAATTCGCAGTACTCGAAATGTTGGCAACTTTATCCAAAATCGTCCGCAAGTTCAAGCTGGCGCCAGCAAAGCCCGAGCACAAAATCCAGCTGGCCGCCGAAACGATTTTAATTTCCAAAAACGGAGTGAAGATTGCATTGGAGAAACGATAGATATAGATTAAAATCGAAGCAATGAATAAATAAACTTAAATTTGTGTGTATTTCGCAATTTTTTCCGATGTAAATTGGCCTTAAATCGCACAACGAAGATGTTTAAAATCAATCGAGGAAGTTATGAAGATGCCACTTGAAAAGTTAAAATCCATTAATCGACAACCTGAATGTGGCAACTCGTTAACCACAAGAAGTAACCGTTAAGTGCCCTTGACCTCTTCGATTGCAGTTAGTTCTTTACACAAGAAATGTATGAATATGTTTTCAGCTTCTTGATAGGATGGACCCGGCTAATTTACCACAGGAACGGATTTTAGTGACTGGAATGTTGAGTCCAAATTTTCTAAAAAAAATCACAACATACAATTTCAACTTTAACGCAAACCATGAATAATTAATAACCCTTGGTGGAAATATTTTTGCTCCTACCCAAACGGCGCCTGTATCTGAGCAGCCATTGGCGCCCCGCTTATCACGTGACACAAAAGTGCGACTAAAACTCTTTGCGCCAGGTGTACTAGTTGATTCAAAGATTGTAGGATGCCACTGAAAACACGCAAAAAGTGCAAGCGGGATTTTTGGCTCCTATTGAAAAATGCCATTTTTTCTCTGAACCACTGAGATTTCCATTTCTTTCAAAACACGGCACTTTTTTCAATTCATCAACTTTCGCTTAATGGTTTCTTCACTGAACCCGGTTAAAATTTAGATATAACTGGGTCAATATTGAAGATGAATTCCAAGCAATCGATTTTTAATGACGCACATAACAAGGCGTTTAAACATGTGCTCGTTTCTGTGACCCAGTAAAAATGAAGCGAACGCCAATTTCTCTGAAATCCGCCTCTGTAACCTGGTCTTGCTTGGACATCGAGCGAAGAACCATAAACAGAAGAAGTCTCCTATAAAATCGGCCGGCAAGAGTTCATCAACTTCAGTACAGTTCTTTTCACCATGCTACGAAAATGTACAGTTTTGGCTCTAGTGATTGTTAGCGTACTTGGCAAAAACATTCCAGTGGAAGTCAGGTATGAGCGGCTGGAGCATGATTTTGCTGGAAATTTGGGAGAAAAGGTCCAACTGAGCGGCGAGCAGCTGAGCGAGAATAAGCTGCGCTTGGAGAAATTGAGTGTGGCTGAGGAGGATCTGAGCTCGAACGTCGACCACTCAAACTCAATAAAAAATCTGGATGAAAAAGTGCAACTGTCCCCGGAAGAACTCCTGCAGGCCTCCAAGCACATCCCGATCCACCACTCCATACAAGACGATGAGGACAGTAACGACTTACTCCGACTTGGCGAGCTCCGAAACGGTCCTTTCCGGGCAAACAGCCTGAGCGAGCCTCCAAGCAAACACCTTCTAGTCGCCCGCATGCAAACCATCATCGAAAGCGGTTTGCACAACTTGAGAAGCAACTTCATGCCACGCGACTTTGAGGTCGGACCTTCGAAGGAGTTGTGGAACAAATTCGAAACGGACGTGAAGAAGTACTTGGAGGAGCAAAAGGGCAGGCTGGACACGCGGCAGGAGCAGAACTTCATCCAGAGCATCAGCAGCGGGTTCCAGGAAGCGGCCAACAATTTCCTCCAACAGTTCCAGAACCAGAATAAACCCAATGGTACCAGTGGGGATGAGGGAATCGCCCAGCAACCCAACCCAATTCAGGGCTTTATTGGCTACTTTACTAACGGTAAGTTTTCCACAAGTTTTCTGTATGTTTATTTGGAGCGATTTCGGGTTCTTCATTCGAGTGATGGGCTTTGAAAACGTGCTTTTCCAGTTCAGTTTGTGTTTCAACGCACTTGTGTTCGTATAAAGAATCCGGTTTTTCTTCAGACGTTTGGCTTTTAAGGAGTCTAAATCAACCTAAAACAAACTTTTAACAAAAAAATGATAAATGCTGAAAATCGAATCATTTCACTGACGATTTCGTCCGTATTATCGACCCAAACAGTTTGCAAATGCATATTTGCCAGCTTTTTACGTCGAAATCAATCGCTTCAGCGTAAAAAAACATGTACATTTTTTATTTTTAACGACCGATTTTTTTGGGAAAACATAAATTGCATAATTTCGACATAATTTTCATCTCTCCTAAGCGATAACTGCAACGAATTCGTTTAAAAACACGCTCAAAGTTTTAGTTCCGAAATAATCGATATTTTCCGAACATTTCAAGCGCTTTTTGTATTTTAAATCGACGATTTCTTCCTTATTGACCCAAAGAAGAACGAATGAAAATAAATGTTTGCCTTATTTTAATTGAGAAGAAGCACTTTCAAACGTTTCACAACATTCCAGGTGTCCAGAGTATTGTAGGTACCTTGCAAAACGTCCCTCAATCATCTTCGCAAAAACCTGGAAACGTCACAGAACTGGGTGATAATGGTGGAACCCAATCCGGGATTATCGGCTCTTTTGTCAATGGCGTGCAGCAGATCTTCCAGGTTCCTCAGCAGGGAATTGCTCAATTAACCGGTGGAAACACCACTCAGGGTAACACGCGCTCTTCACATTGAGTTCGAGGTAAAACCTAATAAATATTGCAGCTGACACTGGAAATCCTTCGGGTGGACAGCAGGGATTCTTTGCAGGAGCGATCAGCCAGATCAACAATGTGGTGGACAATTTCCGGCCGACTTCGTCCCAAAAACCGCCAGCAGCGCAAGGGGATGAAGAAACCTCCCAAGGACCGAACCCCATCCAGCAGGTGTTCCAATCGTTTGGAAATCTTGGTAGGAACTTGAAGAAAACTCAAAGAATTTGTCTGTGTTATAAATAAGTGTTTTTTGCAGGAACGGCGTTCAGTCAGTTCGTCCAAGGAGGACCAAGCAAACCTTCAGGTTAGTTCACACTTTGATGACTTGATCCAGCTCAACCTAACGAGTTGTAGGTTCAGAAGACGAAACAACTAGTCAAGCTTCAAACCCCAATTTCATCCAGAGCTTAGGACAGAATATCGGCAGCGCCTTCCAGAATATCCAGAATCAGTTCAGGCCGCCATCCAATCAGAGTGCTGCCAGCACCGGCAGTAACCCGATTATTGAGCAGGTGCAGAGCTTTGGAAACCAGGTGCAGCAGGCTGCAGGACAAGTGGTAGCCGGCAGTCCTCTACAGGGAATTTTGCCAGGTATTTGAGGCGTTTTTCCAGTTTTTTTTGTTATCGTGGCGTTTTTCAGCAAGTACCAGTGAGGTAAGCAAGAATCCAGCTGAAGGCGAATCGTCGTCCACGCCAGTTCCTCCTAAAGTGGGAGCAGATGAAGAAACTCCAGTCGAACAGCCGGCAGCTACTACTGAAGAATAAAGATCTATATTAAGTCCTTAATTTATTTGTCTGGATAGTGATTTTCTTCGGTTGGAAGAAAGGAGGCATTATTATTATTTATTTAAATTATTTTATTTGCGAATCATAAATAAAGTGTTGCGATGGCAAACTGAACTAAATCAGCAGTTTTAATTTGCCATCCACCTGTTAAATGAGCCTACTTTAGCAGATGACACAACGATCATTGAACATGAAGTTACAAATGGAAAAAATCCACATGATGTTTTAATCTGTAATTCAATCTATCAATCAGTCTCTTTAAATTGAGTCTTGTGGGTCCCGTAAATAAATTGACTAAAATTAAACGACATTTAACATTTGCGTGATTACGAATGTGTGTCAGTCGTTCACAATGCCGTTTCCGATTTATTTTAGTGGCAAATCGCATCGTGCTCAAATAGTGAAAGTGAGGGGAAAAAACTCCAAAACCGACTGATGGCAATTGAGCTAAAATTCACCAAACCGGACTGTGGTCTTCATTGGGGGTTTCGATTGGTGGGAGGTGCTGATTTTAATGAACCATTGGTCGTTGTCAAGGTACGTTTCTTTGAACTTTTTAAATTATTTCAATTTCCTTGCTTTGTAGCTTTTTAGAAAAAAATACTAGTTGCAAAAACGCGGATTGCTTTGATGATACCAATTCTGTTATGCAAAGCAAATCGGCTCTTTGAACAGTCCGTGATTTCCGAGTTATTAGGCCGTCGTCCATAGGAATTTTTTGTTTCGTGGGACACAACTCTGAAGATTTTAGCCACGCGGCCAGCGAAACGTCGAGACCAAAAGTCAGACTAATACGTCTGAGAGCACCAATTGGTCAAACTTTGGCTTCGAAAGACTTAACTAATTCAATTTGTTAAAAAAAAAATAGAAAAATTTTCATATATTGCACATAAAGCGAAAGTTTCCGGTGAGCATATTGGCGTATAACCGACGAAATGTTGCATATAGGCCTGCCGTTTGCCACACAATTTAACGGTTTGGGCCTACTATGTGGCTGTTGATGCAACGGCCGTGGATTTCCGCGGCCAATATGATACGAAAGACGTATTTACGGGCACTCGAATAGATGCAGATTATACAGGGTGGTCTTGAATAAATGTGACAAAATTAACTGGTATTTTTTAAGCAAAAGTTTTGCTCATAAATAGTTCTCGAGGCACAGGCTGTCACAGTATAATTTCTCACGGTTTTCCAGATAAATTGAATTCTCAAAAATTAACTAAAATTGAGAAATATCTGCAACTTGGCACATTTACGCTCTAAGTGTTCCTCCAGCCAAATTACAAATTTCAATATTTCATCTGTTGTAGTTTGCGACCTGGAATCTTTTAAAGAGTTGCGAGCACAATGAAAACTGCAGCTTCTACATGAAGTTTTGGGAAATTCTCAAAAATCAGCCAAAATCTGGAAATATCTGCAACTTCATAATCCACAATTCCTACAATTTATTTAACCAAAATTGCAGAATTCAAGCTACTGGCTGTCAGATTTTGCCATTTATACATTTTTTTAAACCAAAGTCGCATTTATCAAAAATGAACCAAAACTTCAAATAATCCACAGCTTACCACACTTTAACACCAAGTTTTTTGTTGATCCAAATCGCAAATTTAGACCTTCAACCTGCTGCACTTTGTGTCCTGTGAATTTTTAAAATATATATAGTTTTTAGGTGGAAGTTTGAAAAGCTCTAAAAAATCAACCAAAACTTGAAAATATCTCCAACTTTCCACACTTTAGCACTACGCCTTTGATAACCCAAATCGCAAGTTTAAACCTTTTAGCTGCTGCACTTTGCGACTTATGAATTTTTAATACCAAACGCACTTAATCGGAAAAACACAACTAGATGAACGTTTGAAAAATTGTCAAAAATTACCGAAGTACTAAAAATTTCTGCAACTTTACACACTAAAGCACAGCAACTTCTCTAACCAAAATTGCAAATTTAAACCTTTTATCTGCTGGACTTTGCGAGCTGTGAATTTTTCAAACCAAACGCGCATTATCGAAAATATAGTTTTTAGATGGAAGTTTGAAAAACTCTAAAAAATCAACCAAAACTTCAAACTATCTACAACTTTCCACACTTTAGACCTAAGCCTTTTTCAATCCAAAAACGCAAATCTAAATTTTCTAGCTGATGTACTTTGCGAGATATGAATTTTTAAAATCAAACGCGGTTAATCTAAAAAACATAACTAGATCCAAGTTTGAAAATTTGTCAAAAATTAGTCAAATACCGAAATTTTCTGCAACTTTTCACACTAAAGCACTACGGCCTCGTTAACCAAAAAGGCAAATTTAAACCTTCAAGCTGCTGCACTTTGCGACCTGYRAATTTTTAAATCCTAACGCGCATYATCGAAAATATAGKTTTTAGATGGAAGTTTGAAAAATTCTCAAAAGTCAACCAAAACTTGAAAATATCTWCAACTTTCCACACGTTAGCACTAACTCCTTTTTAACCCAAATCTCARATGTAAACCTTCTAGCGTCTGCAAGTTGTGACTTATTAATTTTTTKAAACCAAACTCGCTTAATAGAAAATAGGTACATAAYTAGATRAAAGTTTGAAAAWTTGTCAAAAATTAGRCAAGTGGTGAAAATTGCTGCAACTTTATACACTAAASCRTTAAARGCTTCTTTAATTGAAATTGCAAATTGAAACCGTCTAGCTGGCGCAGTTTGTTTTTTATRATTTTTTAARCCTTAATGCGCYTAATRAAGATTTCCAAATTTCCTGTAAGGCCACCCGGTACAAGCGTCCTGTGAAAAATAATTGGTAGTTGTAATTGCTTGGACAATCGATTATTTATTTTYACCAATTATTCAATCTCTTCCWTGCTGCTTTGTTGCATCGTCGTTCAAATAAAATATTTCYAAATTTTAGGTGCAAGAAGGCAGTTTAGCTGAAAGCGCGGGTTTAATGGTAGGCGATGTTGTGGTGAGAATAAACAATTCTTCCACATCTGGACTAACACACGTGGACGCACATAATTTAATCAATCAAGCTGGTTGTGATTTTTTCATGGCGATTAGAAGGCAAGTATTGGTGAAACCTTTCAGGTTCATAGAATTTGTCGATTTAC